TAACTAAGTTGAGCACGAAGCTCCTATCTAATGGCAGACGTGCCAGTCTTATATAGAACCTTCATACCCCGCGTATGGTCCGAGTATAGAGTAGTATAAGCCTTCCTTATACTTCCTTATACTCCGGTAGTATAGAGTAGTATAAGCCTCCCTTATACTTCCTCATACTCCCTAGTCACATGATCTTCTGTAAGGAAGAAATCCTTGGATCGCCTAGCTACCCTAAGCGATCCCCATTTGCTATAAGAAATCTGAATGTGCCTGTCGAGGATTGCGCCTCTTATTATGACAAGTATCACGTGAACACGTGATTCGTGACATTCTAGTATTAAAATACTATAGACTTAGTATAGTAGTTTAACGTTACTAAAGCGAATTGAATAATATTTAAATAATATAACATCTAATTATATAGTAAATGACTTTACTACTAAGAATAATACTATAGAGAATATAAATTTAAAGTAAAAGAATTTATTTAGAATTTTTAAAAAAAGGCTCCAACTTTATTATCTAGCTTATTATCCTCTATATTATATTCTTTCTATATACTACTTAGCGGATTATCTAAATCGTTATCTAAAGGTTCTTTATTATTTAGTATAAACAAGGTATAATTAGAGGAAAGTTTAATAGAACTAGTACTACTAACTTATATATAAAAGTAGAGGGAGTTTATTATTAGACAAGGATTATTTATAGGAAATATAAACAAGAGAGGAACTTTAGAGGGTACTTATAAAGGTTATTAGAGAGACTTCTTAGTATTAAGAAGATTAGAGTATAAGTTAGTAGGATTTCTTTATTTAGAGAGATATCTTAGAGGACGTCTTTTATTATTTATATAATTAGAGTTAGGTAGGATAATTAGTTTAGACCTTGCTTATTATATAGCTAGATAGTTATATATCCTATAAGGTTTTAGTAGGAGAATTAAGTATATTTTATATTATAATATTTGTAAGTATAAGTCTCTATTAAAACTACGTCTTTAGTTAGATATTTAAGGTTTTACGCCTACTACTAATATTAAGAAAAGTACACGTTAAAGAAGGTTTTATACCCCGGGCCAGTATTATGAATTTCCTGACGCAAAGAGTTAATAAGTTCCCAGAGGGCAGAGGCGATGCAAAAGGATGCTTTCGTAGCTGTAATGTGTGGCTATACTGTGTCGATAGAAGGTTCGTAGATCTCGTGGGAAATGTGTATTAGTCGGGAATATATTTCTTTCCTTAACTACGGTAAGGTTACGTATGTTCGTGCCAACTGAATTAATGGGGTTGCCGTGAACCATCCTTTTCACCTCTGGGACTTCTTTTTACTTTCAACCACGACACCCCTACAAGCATTCTCCTTTAATTCTATAACTTCCTTCAAGTTTTTATCACTGTAAGGCCACCATCCACCATCGATTTACAATTTTAACCACTCGAAATCGCAATCTAAGGCACCGCTAAGACACCAGAAGGTTAAGAGATAGTGCTATCTAGACCCTAACGGTCGAATGGCTTTAGGCTCAAAAGAGAGGTTTGAGTAAATACGAGATATCTAACGTGAAATTCTGGACCACCACCAATTATACAATCCCACTTACACCATATGTGGGTCAGTATCTTACATTCTACATCCGATTCTTTCCATACACTTTGATCCTCATACTATTTTGAATTAGCGATGGCGCCCAGCCCATGAACGAGTATTGCGAGCATACTCTCGCCATTGGCGTTGGAGCCAATGCCAAATCATATGATCAGCTTGCCAAGTCGGGGAACTTGTTAACAATGCTCCAAGCGAGGGGCCAGCAAGGGATAGGAAAGAACATGAGTTTAAAGTAGAGCTTACCATTATTGAAAGTGACGATAAAGATGAGATCGGGAATCTAACGCCCACTGTTGGAAAGAAGGTTATGTAGACTTATCGTAGGTTTTTGGCTTTAAATTTGCTAAGTAATTGGATGGATCAAGAAGATAATGGACGCAAAGATCAAGAATTTGTAGCAAACAATAACCAAGCTACAAAAAGGCGAAAACTAGCCTAGCCATTTTAGAAAGGTAGCATTAGGAGGCTAGGACTAAGCTACACGCCTATACTACAATATTTCCCTACCTATCTTACCCCTCCTTCTCTTCTAAGACTAGGCTATGAACCTATATGACCGTGAGTCAACGCGACGGTAAGGATACGACAGTAAGGGTGCGCGATAGACAGTTAGGGTAGTAGGTATACACGAAAAAAATGCCTAGGCACGTGAGATCTAAGAGCTGAGGTGTAGGGGTATAGGCACAGTAGTAACACAAAGTAGCTATGTTGCTTTTCCGGATGAAGATTTGCGAATTGTTCTCTGACTCACTTGGTTTAATTGTCAATTTAGGATGCCGTATTAAGAGAATTCTCATGAAATTTTAGACCGAAATACGGATTGTCACCACGTCATCGAAGTATACATTTGTTATCTCCACATTCAAGTTTCATGTAAATTGTATCATTGATTTTTATATTCCGAACATACCAAATCAACAACACCCTTCTTTCCTCCCAGTTAAAATACACAAGCACTTGAACGCCTCGCTACTCTTTGTCTATGCTTTCTTAGCAAGTTCAATGGCCATTGTCGGCTTTGAACCGTCTCTGGTCTCAATACTGATAATTTCGTAGTCCTTGAAGGTATCTGGGTTACGACCAACGGTGTTGAGGTAAGAATAGTTGTTATCATTACCAGCAAGGATCTTGAACCATTTTCCTTCTTCACCGGTGGCGTCTTTCTTCATAACGTTCGGTTGCCCCCCCTTTTTTAGAGCCGCATGTGCCGCGTCGATGTCCCTGTCGGCTTCACCATTGATAACATTTTCAGAAACGAGTAGGTACTTGTCAGGCTTTTTTCCGTCAAGCTTTCCGGATTGCTGTCCAGTTCTCTATTAGTACACAATACCAAAGAATGATAGAGAATGTGGGAAGTCCAGCTCATACCTGGGCAGCATCATGGACGAGCTGATATACAGGAACAGATTTACTCGCGGCATCTTCAGTAGGGACCAGAAGATCATTTTCCTTAACGGGAGCACCACGCGAATCTTGCTTGAAGCGAGCACCATCGTTTTCTGCAAATCGACTGTGGGCAACGATAGCAACATAATCTTTGCCGTCCTTCGTCGACCTGCCAACACTCATTTTGACGATAGGATCTGATGAGTGGACTTTTGATCTGACTTCCATCGTCTGCCATCCTTTTGCATCCTCGGCATCAAATCCGTACTTTTTGTCGAATTCGATTGTTTCGATAGAGTCCTCCACACCTTCAAAATCGGACTTTTCGAAATTGTAGCTGTCTTTCTCTTGCGTGCTATAATCTTTGGCTTTTGCTGGATTACTGGCACGCCTGATACCCTCATCCCCGCGTTCCGCCAACTTGTCAGTTGACAGAAGCTCCTTCCGGCATCCATTGGTTCTGCTACAGATCTCTGGGGTATTAGGGGCGTCGGGGTTGACGTTACTGTCTCCAATATGGACAGGTTTATCGTTGGGAGTGGTACCAGGAGTTTTATCACCTGTACCAATACGCACTGGAGTACCTTCGCCACCCGGGGTGTCTCCTGTGTGTGAAGGAATACCACTACCGGGCTTGACAGGAGGAACCTCTTTAGGAGGAGTGATTCGAACTGGTGCAGCTCGAACGTAGTTCTCGTTATACACTATTACCTTCAGTTAGAGTTTATTTTATTTTACGGGAATTGGCAAGAGTATTCTTACGGGAAATTCCTGTCTTGGGAACTGCTCTTCCAAAGGCCTCTGGCACGCTGCTGAAAGCAGCTAAACTGAGGAGAAAACCCGCACTATTGAAACGCATTGTCGAAACTGAGTTGAGTGCTGTAAGGATTGACAAGAATCTTTGCAAGGAAAGTAGATGCTTGAAGTTAAAGAGCGAAAATTGGATATAGAAAAAGAAAAGGAAGATGCAAAAGTATAGGCTGATAAGTTGATGAGACTCTTGCGTCTCATGTCTGCCAGTACTACTTATACATATTTCAAATCACTTTACCTCTGATGATCTGAATGCGGCGTGTATTCCTACTTCCTCCCTCATCAACAAGCATTAGGTGAGAAACAATTTTGAACCTAGCCGCTGGAACTTGGTCTGAATCCTGCGAAACTGCAATCGTTCCTTCGTCGTATATGTGGGTCATCTTCAGTAATGTGCCAAGGTGGCGGGACATGCACGTGGGAAGCAAGCCGCCCCCAACTTCCAGGTACATTACAAAGTGATTTACATCGCCCCATTCTGCCGAAGATACCGTGCTGTTTTTAATCTTACTAGATGTTTGTTCAACCAAGTTTTTGGAAGTATCCATGCCAAGCATCTGATCGCGCATGGAAGGGCGTGAAAATCGAAGCACGGGAAATTCTGGATTGTACTTGCCTTTGGAGGATTCGATCTCACTGTCAGATGATTTGTTTTAAGTTCTATACGTAGCGAAAGGTTTTTGGAAAGGATCAGATTACTACGCCTCTTGAATATTCTGATTGCTTTTTCGTTTGGTTGCTATTCCTGATGCACTCGGTTAGACCTTGTGTTTTCCCCTTCTCACCGTGATGCACTTGGCGACTCGCTCGTGCTGTGATGGAAATCACAACATAGTTGTTTGTCATAATGAGTAGACAAGGTATAGTTTTAATTTTATTTCATCAAATCTTAATATCATCACACTTTGAGGCAAAATGAAGTCTTGCAGTTCAGGCGAAAGCTGGGGATAATAAAATTGTTATCTGGAAAAGAAATCTAGTATCTATGTGGAAAGGAGCGTGCAATTTGACTACACGTAAATGAAAATCCCACCACTCATAGCATTAAACCAAAAGTCAACAACACCAAAGCAAGACCTGTCATAGACATCTTGTTAATACCAGCCGATGACTTTTTCGGAGAACTGTCATCTGTGGTTTGGTTCGCTTTACTCTCAACCAATCTGAGGCAGGTCAACTCGGCTTTCGTATCATTGCCTTTCTTGAAAACAGTCATTACAGGCGTGATAGAATTGAGAATTGGCGAAAGTAATTCTAGGTCGCGGCTAGCAGGTTGTTGCCGTTGGCTTTCGATGAGAGAAATATCGTATCCTTGACCAGTGGTAGCTCGACATTGGCTTTGGTCTAACTTCTGAAGACTGTTGCTGCCGCTTAGTGCTGGGATGAATTAGTACTGGGAAAATGAACTTTGGAAATGTGGTACTCACATTGAGCAACTATCTTCCCCCATGATCCCTTGACCCCATTACAAGTCGAAGGAGGTTTACCGACCAAGGAATCTCGCAACTTATTGCAGAAGTCTGAGTCGTTCACCACCTCACCAGATGCTTCAGCTTGGATTATCAGATCGGAGACGCAGTTGTTGTTGAGAGCATCGGAACAAGTAAAGTTTTCCTTGTTCGTAGTTGTGAGATTTGGCGCTATTCCTTCGAAGAAGAGAGCGCATCCGATGGCATCTTTGAGTTGAAAGGATGGTGGAGTGCCAAGATAGAAGTTCCGGTCAAGAGTCAACTTCTTTTGTGAGTCGTTTCCCGTTTGCTGGCTTTCTTCGAGACCCAAGGTCCAGGTCAGTGGTTTTGGATCAATTGTGGTGGTGAAGTTCGTGATGCCAACAGCTTTCAAAGTCGCATTCCCAACTTTACATTGCGCGGTGCGAAACTGGTCTACTGGACAACCGATGGCATCGCAACCGAGTAGCTCGGCTAGAGCAATATTGGCGAAGAGCGAAGAAAATAATGTAAATGGAACAGAACTGCTTGCAGTCGAGAATTTCATTGTAGCTGAATGTGAGTTTCGTTAGAGAGAATGAAGTTGGAAGATTGGAAGATTGGAAAAACAAAGGAGTTGTGAAAAGTGGATGAAATGCGAAGTGAAAATTACTGTTGAGCCAGGAAAATATGAAAACAATAACAGAATAACTTACAGAGGGGTTATTCAGGGGTTGGTTTTGCATTTAGGGGCTATTCACTTTTTGTGGCTGGGGGCTGCTCCTTCTGCTAGGGGCCGCGGCGCTTACAGCAAAACGCGCAGCAGTGCTAGCGCGATTACTGTACGCCACAAACCTTAGATAAAAATCAGCCTCAAGGGTCAACTACAATCACATATCCCCACATAGCTGAGTAAGACAATCACACACTCCATCAGCACTACCCCATTTGTGTCACTAGCTTGTTGATTGTCTCCAAACATCATGTTTCCGAATCGCCCGCAATACCCAAAATTAAATCATGTGCGTAAATCCGCGTGAATCCTACAAACCATAATCTTGTAGGATTATTCACCGCCAGATAGGATTCCTCGAGGTGAGCCGATCATTATTTTTCATTTTGGCGGCTTGACTCGATTAGTAGCAATGAAAGAAATTTAATCTTGCATGTAGATGGGTTTTCAAAGAGATAAAAGAGGGCAACCTCGCTGGTCAAATTGAAATTCTCATCCACAGTCACCTACTCTTCCATCTTTTCTCTACACTCATATTGCACACTCACTTTTCAGACGACTTTCACACTCATTTCTGAATACCTTTATTCCATTTCACATTCTTCCACTTCAAATCAACTGAGATTTTTGCAAAAATATATTAACCAAACAATCACACACTCATTACGCAATGGCAAACGTAGCTTTCAACGTCATTGGGTTAATACTCGGTGTTGTTACGATGGCTCCAATGTTGGAATCCATGCTACCTTCCAAAAGCGACCGCGAAACTACAATTCGTATTGGAGTCGGAACTTCTATCAAAGGAAGCGATACCACTGGTGGTAACATACCTGGTATTCGCATCTTTGATGTGATGGGACGAGATATTGGCGAAGCTCGCGGAAGCAAGAGCAAAATTGCAGACGGCGGATTCAAAGATATTGTTGTTACCGCTAACTCGGAACAACAAGGGCGACAGGCCCAATATGTCTCTGTTTCTAAGGGAGGCAATGATGCACTTTGCATCTCATACATCGCAGTCACTTGGCCAGATGGGCAGAAGAAGGCATGGTATGGCGATGTTGGGTACCAATGTGGAGGTTCCTGGTATAACTCCCAGACAATCATCGGAGACGACAATTACCAACCAAAATGCACTTGGATTGATGGCGATAAGTCCAACGGAATCACCACCCAGGGAATGGGCATTCATATCACGGACTTTACTGCTACTAAGGAGCGTGCTGAGGCATACGCGAATGATGGAGATACTATGTGCAAGAGCAAACCTCGCTTCCATCTGTATGATGATCTGAAGAGCGATTATTTCCTTCCGTACTTCAACCCGCCTCTTGAGTATGACTCGAACCTAGTCGACAAAGACCGAAGCAAGGTTTTGGTGGATGGTGCCTCAACTGGAAAGCTCCCACCAAAGAACAAGAAGCGTAGTCCCAGTGAGAAGCGTAACAACCTCTCCAAACGCCACACCTTTCCCGGTAAATTGGTCACCAGCAAAAACCACGCTCACAGTGCGAAGGAGCTCTGTCAAAGCCATAGCTCTCTTGGTCCCGATTTCGTTTCTATTCCCGAGGGTCTGTTCTGTGATATGTCTGAGAAAGAATTGTGGCCTCTCTGTGGGAAGGACAAGAAGTCTAGCTGCTTCGATCTTGCCACCTCTTCCATGATTGCGAAGGTTGGTAACTCTACTACTTCAACCTACATGAACTCTCGAAGGGATGTTGCCACTGGACGTATTGTCCCCAGCAAGGAATATGATGATATCTCCGCCTGGTAAAAAAGAGGAAGAGATTTTGTACTGTAGGCATTGAGGCAATAAGCATTAGGCGGCGGCGGTCTGCTGACTTTTTTGTACGGTTTTATGGGGTTTTAATTGGAGGTTCTTGTGGCGTTTACTTTTGAGTCTTTGCTTAGATTTAGTGGTGAGGGTATTTAGTGAATGTAAGATAATTTAAAAATTAGTCCTATATTTGTTTCGTCAAAACAGTCTTGCTTTTAATGCGTATCCCACATGTAACCGCTATAATGTGAATCAATGCTACGAATATTTTATGACAGTAATATTAGGTTGTAGAAGAAAGTTGTCAGCCACGTGATAGCATCGGAAAATAAGGGGGGGCTTAGCTCATTCACCTTGAACGGATCCACTGCGGGCCGATCCGAAGGATTGGCTTAGCCACTCGCTTCCTCCTCCCCACTACCTATATAAAGCTTCCACATAACAATTTTGGATCACCTGCGACATCAAACATGCAGCTCTTAGATCTATCTCTGGAGATCTTCAAGATTGTGGTCGGGTTTACAGTGCGTGAGCTAGGATTGAAAGAGTCGATGAAAGCCCGTCTTACATGTCGTACGTATATTTTATTCGACTGCAAATATCACTTTCGCAACATTCCGTTGAGCTAACCACCTATGCGTCGTAGGCATTCTTGCAGATCGCATTCTCGATGCCGTGATCAAAAATGGGGTTATTGAGGAGGTTGCGTCGCGACATGTAAGGCGAATGCGAATCAGTTACCACTACGATGTGATCGCCCGATATCTTTATCATCGAGTTTGCACAGACGACCCTGTTACCCATGCTTGGATAATGACTATTCGGGAAACATGCCGTACGCTTGCTCAGCATACCAACTCAGAGAAGAATACCGAGCGAGTGAAGCTACTCCAGAGGAGTGCTTGCTTGTGTCTGGCCGTGAATGCAGGATCCAGCGTATTTGAAATATTGAACGGGAACGAAAAAGACGACAGGAAGGAATTCGAGGGTGAGGTTTCGGCCAACTGTTTCGCTATAGCTGCATGGCTGGGCGATATGACGCTGGTAGAGTCATTTAGTCAGGAAATGGATCCCGATCCACGATCATTCTTTGGAAGACCCTCATGGGCAGCGGCTGCTCAGGGTCACGTCCACATTTCACAATTCTTACTAAATAGAGGCGCGCTACCCTACAACCCCAAGTTCTCTGAAGGCTTCGATTTCCAACTTTCCAAGAGTCCCCTTGGTGTGGCGGCATATATGGGCCATGAAAACATCACCCGACTTTATTTACAACCGCCACATTACTGCCCGGAGGTCCGCAGGGAGGAGGTAACTGCTATCGGATATGCTGGGCAAGGTAATCAGCCTGCTACGCTCACATGTCTTGTGGAACACTACAAATCGATCTCAACATCGCTTGAATATCTCGACGCCATCGATGGTGCTCTTGTTTGGAGCTGCAGGAGGGGGGCTGCTAAATCTGTTCGAATACTCCTAGACCTCGGCGCAGACGTGAACGAGTCTGACCAGGGTCCACGGTCGTGTTTGCAGTTAGCTGCAGTTGCTGGCGATACGCAAGTGGTCAAAATGCTGCTCATCGCAGGGGCTTCGCTGGAGCCTGGGAGCTGGATACATCGTCGTACATCTACAAGATCCGTACAGAAGAGGCGTCGAATGAGTGCCTTGGCGGAGGCAAGAGCCAGAGATAATCATGAGATTACAAGACTTCTAAACAATGCTTCGAGAGCTGAGTAGTGGAGCCTCGTTGGGTACCGTACATAGAGCCATGGTTTGCGCACCTCGTAATTTCAGCAAGTCTTTCTGGGATCAACATACAACATTTCAAATTACAGATCAACCTCGATATATCTTCTACAGATCAACCTCGATATATCTTCTATATGCAAATCAAGTATTCAGCTATTGGGGGAATGTAGATATATAGAGAGCGGTTTTTCTAATTCATTGAAGGTCTTAGATCGCCCCAGATCTGCAAACAGCAAAATGTGCGTTGATTGAGAAGTGATATTGAAACTAGTTTTTGTCATATCTCCGCTTCCAAGTCCTGTTTTCTGTTCGCTTCATTAGTCCTTCCTCCCCCTTGATCTTTTTATCTGCTTCACTGAAACTTCTATCCTAACTAATCTCTGTGAACAAACCAATTATTCTGATAATCATAACCCCAACCCTCTTTGCACAGCTTTGTCATCCACATATCCCTACTGTATGCTCACCTCCAAATGCCGCAACACAAAGAACCAAACAAACTAAAGATGAATCCACGGATGCTCACTCCAGCCACGTGGAAAGAAGCAATCCATCTGCCATAGCTTCAAAAAAGTGACACCTAACTCTTCTACTCCACTTGCGGTCCCAAACTGACGTCTCTCACTCCAAGGGCGCCACCTTCGCTTCAACTCAGCTTCCAACAGATCCAGTCTCTTTCCACCACACTCACACATATAGGTCTTATCGTTACAGTTCTCATCTGGAAGCACCTTCGCTCTATGGAAAACTTCAAGTGTCAAAAACTTGAGTCGTTGGCAAATCGCAAGCGTTTGGCTAAGATGCTCATAAAAGATATTATCTGCAACATAAGTGATTTGATGCGGGTTTCCTCGAGCGTGCGAAACCATGTGATTCATTCGGATGGCGAGTCTCTGCATGTGATAGTTGGCATTGTTGGCACATCCGTGGCTCATAATCCAGGGCATGAGGTGTGGCCAGTCAAAGAAGATGGTGTCTATTTCGTAGTCGACGTAAAGTCTCGCACCCTCGGGCTGGCATCTACAACCAAAGCATACCTTGTAATGCTCAAGGACAACAGAACGTGCTTCCTTGGAGGTTTGGAGGAGAGGTGTTGAGATTGCATTGACGACTTCTCTACAGGCAGTGACTGCTTCCCAAAGACCTACTAAAGACAATTGGATTAGCTAGCTGCCTTCTTGTGGTTTTTTCATATGAATGCAGTAGGGAATATGAATGCTGATTTGCCATTTTCATCTAGTTCCTCTTTGGTATAGTCTTCCTGCACAGAATAGAACGGGATGATACGTGGACCAGGAAGAGCAATTTCCCAAATCTTTCTTCGTATCTCTGAGGGAAGCTTCTTGAAAGTTGTAAACTCCTTTCCATATCTCTCGAGGCGATTGAGTTCACAACAGCTTTCTGACATTCCAGCGATCGCTTTCTGGTCGGACCTAATGCCTTCTGCGACCAACTTCACCCAGAAACGATTCATCCATTCTTTCTCTGTCTCTTCTAGAGGATGTGGGGGAATTGATACAATTCGCTCCTCCCTTGGGTATGTCATCTTGTGCGGTTTGTCCAGGACTTGCTAGCAGTAGAATGGCTCATAAAAGGGTTGGTCTGAGTTGTGGGGAAGAGGGGGGGTTACTTACTAGCTGAAACTAAAAGTCCCATATGTATGTATACTGAGTCAGTGAATGTCTCAAATAATTAGGAAAAGAAAGATCAATCTAAACCTGATTCCCGCTGATTTGATTTCACAAGAGGGATGTTGCTAGTTATTACGACATCTTGTAGATTGAAGGTGTTGCTTTCAATATTCCTAAGCATCTCCCATTCCATCCGCAAAACCGGGAAGGAAACAACTTTCAAACCGAAAACCTCAAAAGAGTGTCCGTAGCGTTTGAAATAAATCACAATTCAACGAACAACCAATTCCAGCACACCCACCAGCCCCTCCTCTCCCAGACCAGCTCCCTTCCTCCCTTCCCTAATTAGAGTTCCCCCTCAAAATTCAAGCCTTTAAGGCTTCAAGACACATTTAACATTTGTTGCAGCAATAAATGGTACCAGCAGCACCGTAACCGCAGAACTTCGTTGGAGCTCCACATCTTCCGCCACCGAAACCTGGATCTTCTGGGCCCAGATTGATACAGCCTTCTGCAGCTTGGACAGTCGCAGCTCCGATGAGCAAATTGTGAGGACGGTGATGATTTGCTTGGAGAAGAACATGTTTGCAAGTAGTAGACTTGGTAGTTAGATTATTGGTATGTTGGTATATTGGTCGGGCGTAATGTAGTAAATGAGATTATACTGAGTAAGGTAGAGTTAAGTGAGACTGTACTAGTACTAAGTGAAGATAGAATTAAGATAGGATAGGGGAGTAGTCGAAAGGGTCGTCCCTTATATACCACAAATATGTGCCCTGCACGTACCATTATGTTCGGCATAACTCGAACGTTATGGACGGAGAATACTTAAATCTTATTAAAAAGTTAAAAGCAAGGTTCGACTCATAGGGGCTCACCTACAGAAAAACCTCGATACTAGGATACGCGCTATAAGGATACCTCGTTTAAATCCTTAAATCCTCCGGTCCCGATTACTTTTAGTAGGTTATAAGGATAACCTCGACTAAAGGATATCCTTATGTTTTTTGGGTCCCAAAAATTTATCAGTAGCTAAAATAACCTTGCTTATATCCTTAGAAGTTGTAAAAATTCTCTAGAACTTAGTAAATTCATATAATACCCTAGAGTTTTTAGTACTTAATTACAACTTGCTCATAATAATTAAACAATTATATATAATATACTTATATAACTAGACAACTATATTATATATCCCGAACACTTTAATACACGACCTTGTCGTTGCCTATGCCAAGAACCTTGCCATAAGGATAACCTCGGTTATATCCTTACAAACACTAGGTAGCAGACTAGGTGGTGCCCTAGTCACATAGGTATCCTAGGCAATGAAATCGCGGACAGAGCTGCTGGGAAAGCAGCGCGGATATAGTCACATAGGTATCCTAGGCAATGAAATCGCGGACAGAGCTGCTGGGAAAGCAGCGCGGATACCCCCTTCTAATTCCCTCTCTCCACTTTGTACTGCTACGCTCGAGAGGGGGGTTAAAGAAACAGGGATCGGACTTGCAAAGAAGCTCTGGAGCGCTACACTCCCGGCTGTCTATAAGGATCTGGGGCTTGAAAATTGGTCTTTGAAGCCACGGTCTCTTCAATTACCAAGAGAGGTTCTAGCTCGCTTAATAGCTGCTCGTTCTGGGCATGGAGACTTTGTCGCTTACCACCTTCGCTTCTTTCACTTCGACGCATTACTTACCTCAGGGGATTGTAAGTGTAAGAAGGCTAAGTCTCATTTCCACCTACTCTTTTGTAGGCTAGCAAACAACGTAGCCCCTAGGCTACTAGCAGAAGCTCAGAGGAACCCTCAGCTGCTCTTCGGCCCCGGCTGCGAGGAGCTATTTAATAAGGTCTACTTTAAGACTAGATTCTTCACTAAGATTTGTCTACCTAGATAGGCTGGCCTACTTTTCTTTCTTTCTTTGATTTATGTATTTCATTTGTTGTACCCTGGTTCTCAAAACTAATTAAGGATAAGGGCTGTCCCGAAAGTGGGGCTTCTTTTTAAACTGTCTCTTGTAAATTAGCGTCTCTTCTTTTACACCCCCTGTAGCCTAGGGCACCCCCCTAGTGTCATTTGCCCATATTGGGACTCTTCTAGGACCTAGCCCACGCGAGCTAGACTCCGCTTGAAATAAATAAATAAATAAATAAATAAATAAATACTAGGTAGCAAAACCCATATCCTAGTATCAAGGTTTTTCTGTAAATCCAGGTAGTCGGACCGATTAAAATATAGGCGAAACTCGATACTAGGATACTCGCTACTACAGTATCTCCTGCACCGCCCGGCGTAACTCTTGACCAGGATTAAGCACCCTCGCGTAGAATTGTTCACAACGATATCAGTCACCTGTGTTAAAAACGCGGGGAGCGAGAACATCAAAAAAAGTGCGAAAACAGGAACTTAGAAATATAAGTACCCTTTACTATAGAACAACTACGCTTCTAAGGCTTTAGCCTATCTACAGTATTGTACTTTAGTATATTCTTAGTAAATGTAGAGACTTTTTATATGCCCTAGGGGGACTGTTATTTTATAATATAAGGAGAGGTAGAAAGTTAAGTTTTGTGCCTGTCGTACGCTAAGACATAAACCCGCCATCCTGCCTTATCGTCGGAGGAATCGATATTTTACCCCTTATTAGATTCTAATAAGGAAACGCCGCTATATTATATAAAAGGTTAATGCACTTACTAAGAGTATACTAAAGTACGATATTGTAAAAGCGCTAAAGCCCTAGGAGCGTAGTTATACTATAGTAAAGGGCGGTTATATTCTTAAGTTCCTGTTTTACACTTTTTTTAATGTTCTCGGCTATCCGCGTTTTTAACACAGGTTACTGATATTGCTATAACTAAATAGTTCATTAAAAATTCCACTTCGTCTTATCAGCAGATTGAATAAAGGAATATCTATATAAACCTTAGCTTAGCAGTCTCTTTATTTCAGATTCGGCGATCACAATCCCGGCAGGTTACTTACTTTCTTGGACCTTTTAGTACAATAGATCTTAAATTTTAGATATGGCACATAAAGAAATGTCTGAATGCTAAGTAAAGTATCTCTATTATGATCCTCTTAATCACCTTTATGTTTGAAGATAGAATGGCTCTTTTGACTAGCACATAAGTAAAGTTTTGATGGCAAATAAAGAGATATGAAGATTGTCTGAGACTCTGATCTGATCAAGAAGTCAAGAATGTTTCAAGTAGGAAATATCAGTAAATACACTTATGAAATAGCCCAAAGTGAAAACATTTGGCACCAGGATATTAACAATATTTCTTCGTCAAATATTTGCCCGGCTGTGATATCTTTCCTTGCCACAGAATGACTTATCTACTAAAGTCCACTCCCTATTTAAGCTACATAAGTTTGATTTTACCCCTGGTCAGCAACACAGCTCCCAAGCCTAGTACCGCGCCGGTTGCAGTTCCTGCCAAGTGGGCTTCATGACCAATTCTTACGGTACCTATATTAGAGAAGGCATCTGTTGCAAGACAATAGACATCAATTCCAACCTGCATAAGAGCACCCTGTAAGAAGAAGGCAGGATGAATGGCTGCCATAAAACCGAATAGCCCACACAGAGCCCCTGATGCACCAAGTGATCGAACCATGATTTGGCTATCACGATCCAGTTTCAGAAAGTTCCCAATTTCATAGGCAACATTATGTGGCAATTGTTTCCTGATTTCAGGCCAGTAAACTCGGAGAGCACCGCCACTAATACCTGTCGTGTTTCAAGAGGGTTAGCAAGTTTCTGGGAATGAATAAACGGAGGATGAAGTGTACGTCTTGAAATTCGATAGCGTTGCTGGATATACGACAGTTTTGACATTCACCCAAAGAAAGAATGCGCTACGGAATTCGAAGAGGTACTTACCAGCCACAGTCCATATTATCCCAAACCCAAGATAACCAGCAGTCCTGATCACATGGGGACCAAGTGAGTATAAGCCCAACATGTTGAAGCCAAGATGCCACCACGAGCCATGAGCGAAGGTTGCTGTGATCAAAACCCACTAGACAGAGTAGTTAGTCATGTTGAAGTTGAAACCTTCGAAAAAGATTCCAGGACGTAATAATATGCCTTTTCGGGTATTACATAACAAGATGTAGAACACTGGTTACTTACCCATCGCCCTTCGTCTACGTTTTCTCTTGAGCAAATGAAGTTCTTATCCCGATCTTGCAGAAATTCAACAATCTGAGCTGTCTGGCTTTTTTTCGCTGGCGTGCTATCTCCTCTGTGAAAAAAATTGGAAATCCCTCGACTCTCAGACTTGGCTTTTCTTTCCGCTTCTTTCTCCTGCAACCACCACAGCCCGGCACACCCTCCTAGCAAAACCATTGTTGCAATGCTACCATATCGAGCCTGTGTGATATGAGTATACGAATTCAGTACTCTTAACTCATCGGATAAACTTACAGAACTACGTTGATATGGTAAAGGACTAGTGCTGCTTCGGCGAATTTGATGTCTAAAAATGCTGCCCTGTTGATTCCGGGCCCGGTAGTTCACTATGTCCGACGATTCGTATTTTGTCCCCAGGTTGAACAAGACAGATTTCTCATTGTTGTTTATTGTTGGCCGTCGGGCAAATAGTTTTGCTATTGATCTATTGTATGAGGCCATTGGGGCAAGGGAGCGAGGCCTCTCGGAAATCGAGGTCGCCTCTACGAAGTGCATCTATGGCCAAATTGATGAACTTAGAAGTACGTACGTACTCAAGACAAAGTAACAAGGCCGCAATTGACGGAAGGGAAAAGAAAGGAGCGTTTTGTATGATCACTGTTGGATAGATGTCGTCGACCAGAAATTTGGCTTGGCGGTTTGCATGAGTTCAAAAGAGCAACGCTGCGCCCCACATGTCACGTGGAATCCTTGCCGCCCAATAGATAAAAAACAAAATAAAAAAGAACAGGGGTTAATATCTGATAGGAGAATCTGTCAGAATGTCTAACATAGATAGAAAAGTTCATGTAAGACTTACAAGAATGTACACCGTTAACGGATTTCTCCTCAAACAAGTTATCCTAAGTTCACGTGCCGAAGCAATCCTCTTTCTACGTACTTATATACTCAGAAAATAACGTTCCTTTAAATGAAGTTCCGAACGCAAATAACTCTTATAGAAGCTAGAAATCACCATGTTCTGTCTCCCAATACCTGACGAGCGTTGCATTGCCGTCTATTACAGTCGGACTCGCCCAGTCAACAGCAAAATAATATACGGGAGAAATGACACAGGAATGATAGATTACCGTTTTTAATTTTTTAGTTGTTCTGAATGATAGAAAATAAGTCAATTTCCCATTAGCTACATTCATTCATGAGTGCCAGTCCCCCATAACATGCTAGCAGAGCATCGCCCATAACGGATGCAACACTACAATAGCACTATCTATCCACCATCACCTGCAGCTCAGTATTCTTTCCAGGCTAAGAAGCTCAAGCCAAGAAGCATACCAATTGAGACTCCAAATAAATGTGTAAGATGAGCAGTCCCAGGAGCCATACCGATTTTGATACAAAAAACACCAAACAGTGAGTGCAAAATGGCAAATACCAGGAGAAACGTAGATGAAGTAACTCCCAGAAAACCTAGTATTCCACATAGAGCCCCTGATGCGCCGATACCACCATAATCCCATCGTCTGTGCACATTCAAAGCACTACCAAATTTGCTCCGCAACTTTGGTGGTAACCCATTCTTGATCTGGGGCCAGTAAAGGTTTGGCAAGCTGCTACCAATACCAGCAATGAGCCATACCGTGGTGAGACAAAGGTAGCCTGCTGTGCGGATCATATCTGGAAGTAAGAGGAGGGCGGCGAGCATATTGCAGGTGAGACGTAGCAATGTGTTATCGTGAGCAAAAGTAGATGTGATCATGACCCACTAAAAGACGTTAGATACACTACATATTGATAGTTTGCAGGGGGATTTCAAAGAGAAAAATAGAGAGAAAGAACAGATGATAAAACACTCACCCAACGGCCACTGTCAACATTTCTTCTTGAGAAATAGAAGTTCTTGTCATGATCCTTCAACCAGCCCACGATGGCTCCACAGTTTTGTGCTAAGGTGCGTTTGTTTCGTTGTCGATACTTTCCATAACCTTGGCTAGTTCTCTTGGATGCAGGTAGATTTCCTTCTACAACGTGTAGCCCCCATAGAGAGCAACATCCTCCTATCAAAATGATTGTTGATATTGTTCCGTGGTACATGATCGATAAGATATCAGCATAATGAAGAACCCTTGACCTTACCAGATTCTACTTACGGGCTTGAGTTGGGAGTCGACGAGGGCTATTAAGGTCTAAGCTTTAAGTCTGCGTAGCTGTTTTGAAGTGGCCTTTTGTCACAAGATGTTGAAGTCGTATATTAGAAAGGTTGTACTCTGAAAGTGGGAAAGAGTCAGAAATGAGGAGTGCCTGTTCGATATTTGAGGTGCCCAGAGGAAGGATGGCCTGAAACGTAGAACTATGTACCAACACCACTTCACCCAAATGATGGTAACAAAAGCTGTTCACTTCAGTATTGTTCTGTACTTTGTGTGATGATCGCATGATTGAAAGCATATGGAAGAAGTAACCATCTTCAAATTCACTATCAACAGGAGAAAGATTAAGTTTCAAGCTGCCATCTGTTGGGAATGTCACCTTGAGCTCATGGCTTGATAGACCAAGATAAAGGAAACCGTTGTGTGAAATGCTGGTGAAGTTATTTGGTGATAGGGGTGATACTTACAATATTGAGAGCTGGGCTAAATCCATCAGCTTAGTGCTACCATATTTTAACAATCTGATCATTATTGGAGTCACACAAAATATGTTGTAAAATAATAGATTTCCAGTAAAGGTGTTTTGATCATTGGTCTCAGGAGAACTGTGGGTTTGTTTTACGTTGGTCTCTCTTATGGAAGTTGAAACCTTCAAGCATGATTAACCCAAACAGACGTGGCTCAGGTAATGTAGAAACAAAATTTGAGCGGTATATTTCACTAAAAAAGCAATATGCAGTTTCATGTGGTCTTGCTTTTTTTGTTGAGAAAGATTATATGAGAGAAAAAAGGTACCAGAGGTCAAAGAGGAGTAGACTAAGAAACTAAGAGATTGAGAAACTCTTGGTAGCTTCAGTGAGTATCTAGGCCAGATAAATATACACAGTAAGTGGTATAGTTACGACCATAATTTTCAACTGGTATTAATTTATTAAATATTATTGGTCTGTATTTGTCGAGTATTTCCATCTTTCCTTTTTATTTACATCCAGCACTCAAAGACAAACTAGGCTAAAGCCATAAGACCAACCAACCCACCGAAAACAAGCTTCAACGAATCATATGAAACTCGATCTCCTGAATTCGGCCTCGCAGAAGATGAAGTTAAAGGACTCGCAGAAGTCGCCGTGCCATTTTGAGGCGCTATTGGAAGCGTAGGAGGAGATGTAGTTGAAGGGCTTGTGCTCGAAATGTCTATGCTTGTGCTGCCCGTGGGTGTAACAGAAGTTGCCGATGGAATGATGGAGCTACTTGAGGGCTCATTCGAGTTGTGATCGGAGCTAGAGCTTGATGGACCGCTAGTCGTTGTTGGATTTGGCAAGGCAGAAGAAGTGTGAGAAACCACACCACTGGGATGTGCCACAGAACTGGAATGTGTCGTTGTGACGAATGCACTCGTGGAAGTAACCAGTTTTTTGCTTGTAAAACACGAGAGGTATGATGGTCCTTGAGTAGTGAGCGTGCCTTTATAACCAGCACAGCCAGGTACATTCGTCTTTGGTGGTGCTCGTCCACCTCCACAATCAAGAAGGTCGCAGACTAATCCGTCATCGGGATCGTACCAGTGGACGATGCCATCAGCACAGGTACCAAACGTGTGTGTAGCACAATTGAAGGCCATAATTAGTTTTGATGCTAGTAGCAGCATCGAGACCGAGAAAAGTACTGAGTTTACCATGTTGGCGAGAACACGCGGATTGCGGAGAGAACTTTCGAAGAACGAGTGTGAGATTTTTGATAATTTGTAGATTTGCTTCGATTTGAATAATGATAATTCGCTGAGGAAATGCAATGTTATATACTTCAAGACTCGAGAGAAGTTCCCCCTGAAAATTCTGGGATTAAAATTGCTGACCTCGCTTGAGGTGTATGGGGTGGTGGCTGAGCGGCGAAGTGAAGGTTATACGAGCGGCACAGCTGAAAACACTTCGCACGAACTTATAAATAAACTTAATTACGAGTTGAATTTCCTATTATCGGTTTTGGAGATTTCCAAAAAACGATATAATGTTTGGTGAATTAGATTCATACACTCTATGAACTGCGGAGGATTAGGCTTGGCTTCGGGGCTGGGTTTTGATATCACGTGATTTAAAACGAATGGACACTCTTTCGTTTTGGCATGTAGAGATCATTGACCCCTCTTTAGAACTGGTCTGAAAATCTAACGTATCAAGAGATTCGTGTAACTGAAATCAACGGTATGAAGACGGCGAGGAGTAGCAGTACATCACGTGAAATGCCCCCATTCTTTGCTGCCCGGTAGGATGGGTTAATTCCTTTTTGGTCTTCTTGAGTGCAACGAAAACCACCGCATAACTCAAGATTTCGGCAAAATGGGAGATAATGTGACAACCGAGTAATTGTGTTTTTATTGTCTGGTGTTTTTTTGCGCTAACCTTCTGCACAGATTTAAGCCCGTGAGGGCGTGTATCTTCGATATGGACGGTCTCCTCATCTCTACAGTATGATGCCTTAAATTTACAATAACGGTTGGCTGACTTTGTCCTTAGGAAGACATCTACACTCTATGTGCCAACATCGTACTAGAACGATATGGCAGACCTCCGATGCCATGGTCAATCAAGGCGAAACTCATGGGAGTTCCTGGATCCTCAGCCGGCGACGTTTTCCACGCATGGGCTCAAGTACCTATTCCCCGTGAACAGTTCGACAAGGAACGAACAGATCAACAAATCATACATTTTCCCAATTGTCAACCTTTACCTGGCGTCGAGAAGCTTCTGACTCACCTCAAATCCGCACATACCAAGAACGAAGACAAGGTCCACATTGCCTTGGCATCAAGCTCCAACAAATCCAGTTTTGCTTTAAAAATTCAAAATCCCGCGGTGAAGAAAATGTTTGGGGCTTTTGATGAGAATCGTCGTGTTCTGGGTGATGACCCGCGAGTTGCAAAGGGACGTGGGAAGCCAGCTCCAGATATCTTCTTACGGGCTCTTGCCTGTATCAACGAAAGTCTCCCAGAGAGAGAAATACCAATAACCCCCGAGGAATGCTTGGTTTTTGAGGATAGTGTCCCTGGAGTCGAAGCAGGGAGGAGGGCCAACATGAGAGTGGTTTGGGTACCCCATGTTGGTCTGGCTGGCGAGTTTAAGGGTAAGGAAAAAGAAGTTCTTGCGGGTAGAGTAGGTCTGGTCAAAATAGGCGATGATTGGCAACTTGGAGAGATTGATGATGGATGGGCTACAAGTCTCCCTACTTTAGAAGGCTTTCCTTACGAGAAGTATGGGATTCAGTCTCAGTCATGATACGTACTTACGGCATGAGATAACCAGAATGAACGAAGAAAGATGAAAATAGATCAGTGTTCGAAATTTCATTCAAAAGTACTTTGCTGACTGCTGAATCGAATCTTAGTAGCCTCTGTAGCGAGCTCTAGTCTAATACATTGGTTGATCTGGTTTCCTTTCTGTGGCTAACCAGCTCGGAGGAAGCCACCTAATAGCCAGGTCGGCAGTATTTCAAATCAACAATTATTGCCTCTATTGTTTTGACTTGCAAAACAGAGAAGTCCTATTAAGGTCGTAAGACTCAAACCCCAGTAGATGGATTTGACAGTCATTATTCTGTGTGCCTTTGCGATCCTTTGCGCTTGTCCCTGTAGCCTGTAAATTGACTGCAACGCAATAAACAAGCTTAGTGTAGAAGGATGGGCATCGGTTTTCTGCTGCGAAAATCGTGTACTGTGCATGAAAGTATTCTTCAGATTCAAGGGTTTTAGTATATCAACAATGTTTTCCGTCTCTCTGCTACCACAATACACAAAATATCTCAAGGTTGAGTTGTCTTTCAGGACCGTTTTTATTTTGACTGGTACATCAAGAAGGGAAAGATATCACAGCAGCATACTGAAAAGAGATAGCAACCTCTAGGTGGTGAACTGGGATGTTTGAGAGGGGAAAGAAATCTTTGTATTTGAAGTTTCTCTCTTACCTGAAGAAATAGTAACCCACATAAACCTAACGATGTACTCGATGGAAATTGTGCCTCCATTACGCGATCAAACTGATATTCTCGCTGTCCGCAACATATAGCACATTCACAACATTTATATGGACTACCCTGATGTAGCAGATCTATAATTACCACGAATCTCAGCAAAACGTCCCAAAGAGAGCTGTTCTCTCCTACAGTAGATTTGCAGAATCTTTGAGTGATATTATGCTAGCTCTCTGTAGAATCCCCTAAGACAAAAGTATACAAAGCCCTAGGCTCTATTAGCACTGAAAAGGGACTCCGCATGAGTTCATAGTAAACAAGAGGCTCTTATGCGCAGTTCCCAGCCGCATTCTGAGTTTCTCACAAGAACAATCACACCCCCTCCTGTGGTAATTGGTACGGACGGTATACGATTTGCTGGTCCTAATGACCCCAGCACTTTCACTCTATCAGCTGAGTATATCAACAGGTCTAAGGTATACCCTTTGAAAAACAAATGCTACGTACGAACCTATCAAAGCCTGCCATCTTGGGCGTCAAATCGGGCTCTAGAGGCTACAAAATGATATTGTAAATAGGCATCGAAATTCTTTGAACTTGCACAGCTCCCACCCCATCCCAGCACAAGTCCATGAAGCTTATATGGGGACAACTTTATATGTTCCCCAGCGAGGATTCGCATGGTATCTTCGTACATACTCTATTCTGTGTAGTCGAGCTACACTAGCCAGTGAAGTTACAGAACTATTATCCTCTTGCAAAGAGTTTAATTTGGACCATATGGAGCTTTTCAGGATGCCTCGTGGGTAACTTACCAATCTGCGACATGGGGATGCAATGAAAAGTCTTATTTTATTGTTGGTCTAACAAATTATGAAGGAAGAACATCTTTTACACTTGTTGTCTGAGACTGTAGCAGCAGAGGGTTTCTGAACTTAGAATTGAGATGATACACAGCGGTTTTGAAAACTGTTGGGTAGGATACATGATATGGGCATATTTGCTCTACGGCAAAGTAACCCAAAGTGATGGGCGTACAGGATGTTTTATTTTTTCTGCTGGTGAAATACGGGTCCAGGTCACAATTGTTGGTTAGCTTATGAATCGTTTTGTGCAGTAATTGATAAGAAGTTCTTAGATAAAAATAAATCTATTGACATTTCAGGTTGAAAATAGATACACAGGCGAGGATGTTTTGTTAAACTATAGCACAGCATTTCCCAAAAGGTCAACTGGATTGTGTATTAACCTTTAGTCAAAGATCTAAGTTACATGTGGGGCTTTTCTGAACCCCATATGTGGGTTTTACTACTATGAATTTGAGAACTGTAACAGGTTTAGAAAGATGTGGATGTATGCCACTCATTAATCCTATTTGATTTCACAGCTGTAAGAAATAAAGGACATAGTTTGCTCATATGCGGTCCCCACAGCTCTCTATAATACTGTTTGCTAGAATGACACAAACGTCTCTCTATGTCAAAGGAAGCAGTAGACAGCTTATACAGTAACCCATTCAACTTTCAGCTTAGGATACTCCATACAGACTCCCCTTCAGGCGTATGGTAAGGGTTTGGGGGAGATCCATTCCACTTCCGCAAAAATGTAAGAGCATCTCCCAGTAATCCATCGACTTCCAATAATACCTTCTCCGTCTCATCTTTTGGCCATCCAGATTTCTCTGTGACCATGTAGTACGCTACTGTCCAAGCGCACAACTTTCTCAATGTTGAACCCTCAGATGTCAGCTCATAAGCTTGGCGCACCGCTGTTGAATTGACTCTCCTCTTGTGTGTACCGATTTGATGAATAAACTCCTTGATAAGCCCCTTCAACAGTTTAGGTAATTGATATTTTTCGAGGAGCGCGACAGTGGGCGAAATTCTCAAGCCGCGATCCAATATATAATGAATTTCGTCGGTGTATACCCATTGTATAAAAGCTGCGAAGGACTCTGGGTTATCTTCTGGAAAGTGTGCTTTTGACTCAGAAGCTTCCAAGAAGCCACCGTTGAACATCCTAGAATTCAGACCTGTAAGTATGTGGTGAATTGTGTTGGATTCCAGATTACTCACTTATCAAAAACCTCAAACTTTTGGCAAAGGATCTTCTTGTGGACTTTGAAGTGTTTTGGATTATCGCCTGGTCCAACATACAAATCCAGAATATCCGTTCCAAAGGATCTAAACTCCCAGATTAGTGACTTGAATTATTGGTTAAATTGTTACTTAGATCTCGTACATCGTTCTTCTTAGTTCCTTCTTCAGTTTGGGTTTGACGGCAAGCTGTGTCTTTGGTTTGGTAGATTTCTGCTTGTCTTCTGAAGCCGTGGCGGGTTGGTTGTCTAGAGAATTCGATATTTGGTCGGTAGTTCCAGAGGTTAGATGTAGGGAAGTGGAGTCAGAGGGCATCAAAGGAGAACTTTTCACGAATATATGAAGTGGTGATGGCCAACTTGGTAATCTATTATTCACTGAGCTTCAGACTAAGTTTACTGAAAAATGAATGCTTCTACCATTTGCAAGGGACACAGCACAACACTAAGGCTTTGGGGGTCTAACGACTTTTAAGTGAATAAAAGTAGGTCAATTCATACTTTATTTTTCTAGTTCTAGTTAAGCTTGGAGTGAAGTACATTGTTCTAAAGAAATCACCTAATTGGTTCGTTAGTACCTTACTACTCTGCATGTTTGACAAACAAAGGGCATGCAGGCTACAATTACAAATCACTACATTCCCTACCAGCAGAACTGACGAGAATTGCAACTCGCCAGCATCAGCCAGATTTATTCAAGATATGGTAGTCCTCTATCTTTTCCTTTATGTACAACCTTTGCCTTAGTACCACCTCAAAGACAGCAAGCTCCTATTATATTCCCTACACTAAACCACGCTCCTTAAACCAAATCAGGACAGCAATCGCAAATTCTGGACCGAGATACAAGGTATCTATTTAAATGAGTTTACAATAAGAGTGGCAACCATGTCTAGGCGAACATAGGGGTTTAGTCTCTTCGACGAAAAGCACTGCATTGCTACAGATTTGTCGCCTGATTGCAAATTGTAACAACTTATCCCTCTCCCCTTTTCCTTCTGTGCTAAAAGTCTTACTTACTCCTAGACTTCTAGGAAATGACATGGTCGACCCGCATCTTAGATTCCATCAAATGAAGTTGCGTCTTCGCGTCAATTCTTTCAGAAAGACGTTCAGAGGATATCTCAATGAGGGAAGCAAGGAAAAAAAGGTGTTTACGGATGATCATAAGGCTATTGATCTTCTCTTGGGTATTCAGCCTTTTCTAGTTCTATTTCTTTATAAAGCTCGCCATCTCTCGCTATCACAGATTTCCCTTTTGCGAATTCTCAAGGATTAAACTTAGAGCTATTTCAATAACCATAGGCTAGCTCTATATAAACAACCTCCCTAATTTGATTTTGAAAAAGCTTATTGGGTCCTATTCTGTTGTAAGCCCTTGCTGATCATTACTACAACGCTGGCCTGAAGAGTTATATCTTGGAGAAGTTCTATATCTGGCAGTGTTATATCTATGTACTACCCCCTAAACACCTCAACCTTAACGCCTACAAATATTATGTTACGAACTTACGTATGAAAAGATTGGGTACGTATAACATAGCACATATTCCTACAAGTATAAAAAGAGGGTTTATCGCATTGTTTTAGCTTTAGTGTTTTAAAGAGAATATAATAATACCACTCTTAGTATCTACCCTGCTACCTCCTAACAACCCACAGAAAGTTAAGCGAACAAACCCCTGACAATAAACTGGCCGCCCCATACAAGGCAGCAAAAATAACACAACAAGACTTCAAAAAACAAAAGCATACAACAACAGGTATTCGCTGGTGGTCACCATACTAATCTGCCGATCTGAGGCTTGTGTATGGAAGAGCGGACGGGATGCCCAATTCTCCTCAGTCTATGGTCATATGTACTAGTTTTGTCAAGGTAGGGAGGGGGTTGATGAATAGATTGTTCGCAAAGCTCTCCAGTCTACAGTTCGAAGCTGAATTACATACAACAGGGGTGGTCCAAGCACTCCCCGTGACTTCCAAAGCTACCATATTCACTTAATCAAAAACCTTTGCAAGTTTGGTGTTTCTTTGTGTCCGTATCGGTTCAATTTGGGCTTGGGACAACCATAACATCAGTTGAGTCTACTCCGTTAACAACTACCCGAACGGAGGAAAAGACAATCTGGCTATTACAGTGCTAGAAGTCATGGAAAGTAGAATATTCTATCTATAGATTGATTAAGTTAAAATGTTACTTCACTTTATAGAAAATAGATTTATAATAGCTAGGTATTATAAGTTATAGCCTGTTTAGCTCGAACTATATAGAATTCCGATTTTTAAAAGAGTACCCCGGAAATAATAAAACTTACGAACCTTCTATTCACTTAACTAGAAGTCTTATTAAACAAGGTTTGATTTAAATATTACTTATATTCGAATAGAATTTCCTATTATTATACTTATATAAGTTATATTATAAAATAAAGACAAGGAAAATATTCTATATATAGCTACTAGAGATATAAATATAGTTTTTTGTATAATATAGTATTTATTACTTATATAACGTCTCGAAAGAAGGGAATCTATAGTTTATATATAAATGTATATAAGTTACTAAGAAATATAAAAAAGCCCTTTTTTATATATATAAAGAATATTCTAAAGAAAGCTCAATCTAAATATTCGTAGTAGTAATCTTACTTACATCTTACTAGTCCGAGTAAGGGCTACTAAAAAGTATAAAACATTAATTTAAATAGTAAAACCTAGATTTATCTAGATCCCAAATTAATTCAAGCCGAATATATTATAATAAGCATGTTTCCTACCAGAATTATCCCATACAACGTAAATTTTTCCTACTGTACCGGCAAGTAACGCGCAGCACCCCTTGAAGTTTAACCTTGGTGAGAGCGAGAGAACCAGGTAAACGGTAAACGCTACCGGTCCGATTTAATTGCCCTTTCTACCTGCCAGGTGGTAAGTAAATGGAAAGTTACGGAGTGAGGTATATTATACACGCCCCATAGCCACCTATATTAACAGCTTGCTCTGCCAGTTCCTGTCGACGCAATCAATCTTTTCCACTCACACCAAGTCACGTTGCATACCTAGGTACTACATCAGAACCCTAAGTACACAGCGCAAGCAGAATCTCCAATCCCCTCCATCATGCAACCCACAGCCATTCTCACAACCGTCGCCTTCCTAGCTACAACAGTATTAGCACAGAAATACACCACCACCGCCGGCTTCCCCCTTCCCGATCCAAATACAAGTTGTCCCAACAACGTCTACTGCGTACGTCCCACCCATTGCATTCCCTTCAAAACACATTACAGCAATCAACCTCCCATCGCCCTAAAAGATCCCCCTCCACACTATCCTCCCAAGAACCAACACGGCAGTACAAGTACTAACCAAGATCCTTGCTTCTAGGGTTCGAAAGACAAGTCTCCAACCAATGGTGCATTCATAATCCTTCGAACCGACTGTCAAGTGATCCTTCTATACGAGAAGGATCCGGCGAAGAAACCGAAGGAATTTGGCTGTGTGGGTGTAGGTGACAATGGTCAAGGTGAAGTTGGCGTACGTGTCTATGCTAATCTCTGGTTCTCGTCTATGGTACTAATGGGATACTGAATCTAGAAATTCGTTTGCTGTAGTTAGGGGCCTGGATTGTCTTCTATTCTCGCCTATCGGTACCGGTATGGAAGGCGGTTAATAGATGGGTACTTGGGGAGCTTCGATATTGTTCGAGGTTATATAGCATTGTTGACGCATTCTGTGGTGAAATCGTATTGGACTAGATATAATCGCATAGTTATAGCTTTAAGAACCAAGAAGGTTGCGCTATTAACCTTTTTCTGATCCGAGGATTGTTAGGTATAACTAGTTCGATTGTTCGAATATTAGTTTTTGACTTCTTAGTTAGATATAACATGAGATAACTTTTAGAGCCTATTTGGCTCCCATATTTCAATGGTGTATAAAGCTCTTCTCCTCTACCTACCTAGATAACTCGTATAGTAAAAGAATATTACGTACTTGCTTTAAGTCTTCATAAAGAGAGCCAACCTAGGCCAAGATAAAATAGCCTAAGTATAACTTGAGTAAATCTCGCATTCATATTAAATTACTACCCACCCCCTTCACCTCACTCCCCCCCATCCCTAATGCCCCCCCGTAGTAGGCAGTCCCAGTCCAACCTTAAAACTATCATAAATCAACCACTGAAACGCCGTCAACGTCCCAATCATCAGAATCCTGGTCGGGAGTCCATTCCACAAGCCCACAAAGCCAATCTTCCCAAAAATCCTCTTCATGGCCTGGCCCGCGCCCTCGCCGGGCTTACGATCCGAGTTGAGCTTCGAGACCATGACGTCGGCCGGATGCGAAACGGTCGCGCACCCGATCCCCGCGATGTAGCCCCCAAGGAAGGAGACGCCGGTTTGTTGTAGAGAGGTGTAGTGCGATTTGGAGTGTCCTAGGTACCGGTAGATGGCTGAGACGGTTTCTTCGAAGGAGGCAAATTTGCACATTGTGTAGGGGATCTTAGAGGTGTTTAGTTGGTTGTTTGGTTTTTTGCGGGGGAAGGGGGGAGGTTGCTTACTTGGCGTCCCCATAGGGGATGTAAGCCCTTATACAAGCTTTGAATGTATTAGTATGAATTTCGACATTTGAAGGGATCTTGAAAACTCACCCAGCATATCCCTCTTGCTTGATGACCTTGCTCAATCCCTCTCTCATCGTCTGAGCAAAAGGCGGAACAGAAGTCTGCATCCTAACCTTCACGGCCTCGAATGGACACAAACTATTTTCAATCAGCCCAATGCTCTTCCCATATCCCCTCGCCATGTATCCCCCGTAAACCTCCCCCCAAAAGACCCATCCAAGAAAAATCACACTCACGCAATATCCGCCAAAAACTCCGCACTAGCACTAGCCCCCAAAAACACCACCGTCCGATTAACGCCAGGGAACATCACATCCCCATAAAGATACTTGAAGCCCTCATAGAACCCATACTTGCCAGCTCCCTGAAAGCTATATCCAACAAACGTTGGGGACCAGCCGAAGAAGACGCCTCGGAGGCCTTCGGCGCGCGCGATGGTACGCCAGGCTGAGATGTTGGACTTGTAGAGTGAGGGGTCGACTTGGCGGCGGCATTTTACTAGGTCGAGGGGTATGACTGCTGTGTGGGTTGGTCCGCAGGCTGGAGGTGGTTGTTAGTTGTGTGTTAGAGGGGGGGGTTGGTGTGGGGGGGGAAGGGAGGGAGAGAGGAATACCGATTATTCCACCTAACATGCAGGCACCAAAGTACTTCCCACTATACAACTCAATCTTTGGTTTCGGGAGGACATTCTCAATCTTCGACATGGTGACTATATTTCGTCTCTTTCTTCCTCTCCTTTAGACCTCTTTTCGTTGTTGAAGTTCTGTATCCCTTTGTTTCCTTCCTTGCTCTCTCAGCTCTTGGTCTTATCGCTCGCAAGCAGTTCACGCAGAAGCAGAACCAGCAGGTCAATTCAATTCAACAGAAACAAAGAGAATAGAGCGAAGAGTATGCAATCGATTCAAAGGACAAGAAAAGATTCGCAGAATCAATGGTGAAAGGAGATAGAAGTTGTCAAGCAGAGGAGAGTCCTCTCATAGCTGCCGTATTTCCCGGTTATCAGCTGCGGCAGGGGTAGCTCCGACGACTACGTCATTGGCTCCTCTCTCCCCTCCAAGTAACGCTGACTAGTCAAGTTGCATCCACAACATCGTATCGTCAACCTCTTTTCTTCATTATCGAAAGGTGAAGAATTGAAAGAGATATCAATCGAAACCAAGAGTTTTGACCTCAGATAATAAAATACATTTCGGACTCTTATTATGTTTAATCCGAAAGCATTTTCTTAGGTGTGTCGGCGTATGACCACCCCGCACTTTCGAGCTTGGCGTATGTACCCACCAGGTTACAGGGCTAGTTGCAGATCTCCGCACCGAAGTCCCCATCGTCTCTCCACTGTGGTCCCATGGATCACAAGAGACCACGCTCAATCTGTCACAGACAAGAGGCACAGCAAAGTTCATTCGCAAAGTTGAGATTTCAATAATGACAGCAAAGCTATCTAGTCATATCCACGACTATTCATTCATCCATTCATGCCATCATATCCCCGTCATTTTCCCGCCCTTCAAATGCTCATGCCTCCAAAGTAATGCATGCTATAAACCCGTGTAGCTGTATCAGTATTCTATGCTCTATGCAATTGCAATACATGATTCCCGAAAAACTCCTAAACGCCTTAAATATCAATTCCATCGACAACAACGCCCTTGTTCCAAGTATACTGCATGAGCCGGGCACACTCATTGGCCGCATCCTCGTTGACATAGATACTAACCAGGTACAGAGTGGCATCAATACCAGAGATGACCCCACCACTAGTAATAACTCTCAATCCGCCGAGACGAAGAGAGGCTCGACGAGCATTACTCTCACGACGGGTGTTGCTCTCCTTCCACGCATTGCTGCCCTTGCGCTTCATGGCTGGTGGTTTGGCATCCGACTTGCGACGAACGTACGGAGTCTGAGCCTCATCTTCCAAGTCAAAACGCAAGTTATTGACTACGTATCGCTCCTCGACGACATCGCAGCGCTCCGCCAAGTCTCTTTGTGCGACCTCCGAACAGATCTTTTCGAACTTGGCATAGTAATCCGGGTGGGTAGTGGCGGACAATCCACTGAGGATACCTTGTTGTGCGAGGAGGAGGGAACCGGTGCAGATGGAGAAGAGGGTTCGTTCTTTCTTAGGATCCTTCTTTTGAAGGTCTGAGTATGCTCGAATGAGACCCAAAGGTTCGCCCTTGGATTTGAGGATCTCGTCAACGCCGCCGCCGGGAATGATGAGGACGTCGAATTCAGCGAGGCGGGAGTAGGCTTCCTTGATGGTCATATGGGCTCGAATACCTGCTCCTTGACCGGTGACGATGAACTCTTGTTCGGCTGCAAAGGCGATCTTGAAAGCTTTGGTGGCTGTGAGAAAGGATTTTTCGTCAGTGGTGAACTCTAAACAGACAAGTAACAAAGAAGTCCAGGATTGTGTAGATGGGAGAGGAAAGTGGTATACTGTGTAATTCAAAGTGTGGTTTTGAAGCAATTGATTGATCGATACTAACCATCATCATTCTTGTCATGTTGGGCATGACTGAGAGTTTCAAGAGGTCCGGCATAGTCAAGAGTGTCCATGCCGGGATGAAGTGCGATTAACACCTTGATGATTGGGAGGGAGTCAGTTGCGGCCATGATTGCGATTGATGAAGTTCAATGATGAAGTCTTGGAAATGATGAATTCTGATGTAGATTTCGGGAGATTTGGATGTAGTATTGAGTCCTTTCTTTGATGGTTTTGACTGTTTGGAAGAGTAGAAGTCGTCCGATTGAAAGGTTGTACCTTATGGTCAGATGCCTCACGTGTTGCTCCTTCCCCGCATTCCAGGGGACAGGGGCACCGAAGCGGGGGCACAGTTAGTTTCGCGCTAAGCCGGAATGATGGGGCCGTGGAATACGACGTCACTGGGTCGGCAAATGGATGATGTAAGCTACTTGAGTAACTTAACTTACCAGGTAAAGATGAAAGTGTCCGTAGAGTAAAGCGTCCTCAGGCGTCTATTTTCTACCCACCGAGTTAGATAGTCCCGAAGGACATAATCCGCTGGCTCATTTGAAGCTACTCAGATTATCTGCAACTTCGAGTCTGACTACCTATCCCACTACTAAGTAAAATTATACCTTAAGCTTTTATTTCGTCCCTGGTATATAATAAACGCTTATTTCCAGAAAAGGTCTATTCTCGGTTAAAGAGCGGAATTATATTATTAAGACCCTTGCCCTCTTAGACCTAGCGTTTAGCGAGAACTTCGAAATAAATAATAGTATCGTAAGTGCATTAACCTTTGATATAGTTAAGCTAGATATCTAAATCCTCGAAAGATTAATTTATCTAAACCTTTTCTAGAAACTATATAAGTAGAATTACTTCCCCTTCTCCCTCCCCCTAAACAAAGGGTTTTTTCGTAAAGTTACAAAGTAGGTACACGTTCTACTATATGCATACTCTTTTTCCATGTAAAGGTGTCTTTTTATATTTAACCGGCATTATATAATTTTATACTTTCGTGGGAAACAATAACATAGTACATACCTTGTACCCTACTAAAACATCCCATGTAAAGCCGCTAAAGTTCAACGTTCATTATACCGCGGCCTGGGACAAAGTATGATAATAAGGCCAGATTGGACTGAAGCTTTAGCTCTGTCAAGGTACCCAGGAAAAGATCAAATTTATATACTCCTAGGTAATGCTGGTTCCCTTCCGTTGCTCGTAGTATATATAATTACCTTTGATCCCACTCCATTCACACAGTCTTCGGAGTCTTGCCTATCTACCAGCTACGACTTATCTTGCTCCAACAACTATATTTGTGAGGGTTGGAACCCATGATGGAGGCTCGGGCCATGCCCTCGCTAAGCACTGACCAAAGTCCCCGCTCAGCATTGGCCATTGCTCCACTGCTAAATTGGTTTCTCCTTTTCTACACTTTTCTACTCTATTCTTTTGACGTTACGTATTTGTCAAACAGTTTCTTGGAAGACTCCAGAAACTCTTCCTCTCTCTATATATAGAGGAAGAGATTGCATGTATGTAGTCTTCACGCACTTCTTAATTGAATATTCGAAACCACACCTTTGAGCTATTCGAGGTCTGGCCTCTCACAATATTCAAGCACCTCAGCCTCCTATTCATACCAGTTCAAAGATGCGTCTCTCTATGATGCAAGTTTTCCTTACGGCTCTTACCATCTTCGCCGCAGCGGAGGCGAAGCGTTGTGATACTGCTGCAGACTGTTATGATGCTGAGTGTCCTGCTCCCTCTGTCCCATTTTGGTCAGTAAAGAGCTTGTTCATTAATCGCTTTATACTCATGCTAATGATTGTTGTTATAGTCAACTTGATGGACCGGGAGGTCGATGTACATGTAAATAAGGAGAGTCGTTATCCGCTGTGTTCTACATTCTACCGCAGTCTGGAGATAAGTTCTTCGACATTGAATGCTTTTTACGAATACTAATGACTAAAGTTTTAGTGGGAAGTGTAGTGTGCTTACCTCCAAGGCTAAGGAGACAGTTTTCACGTGGTAGTGTTGTAGTTGCCAGGTTGGAACGCTTCAGGAATGGTTCTGGTTTTGCCGAGTATTACAAAAGTTCAAATGTTACAGTACCACTTAAAAATCTCGAAACGTGCAAATGAGTGCTTTGTTACTCTTGACATGTAAACCACCCTAATAAATAAACTTTTTCTGGAAACTTCACAATGGGGGCTATATCGTAGATGCTCTCTCCTTGTATTCTACTAAAAGATGCTATGTAAAACTACTGGACTTAGAGTTTGTCATGACCGGCTTTGGGACGAAGTATATCTCAAGGCCAGATCAGACTGAACCTTAACTGCACATTTTAGGCCTGTGTACCCTGCTATTACCATTTCTTCAAGCCCTCAAAATAGATCGTGAAAAATACAGATAAAATTCCAAATTGCTCTTTAAGATTGACTTTTCATACGTGGAATATCTGAGATGTTCCATGAGAGTTTTCGTTGTATCAATTCAAGCATTGATTAAGTTTATAGCCAAACTAAAATATGCGGATTTTCCCATACATGTACCTAGATATAACTAGGTACCCAGGAAGAGACTAAACACACTACTACTACGGTAATGCTGGCTCTCATCTGCTGCTCACAGTATACATACTCAAATTATCCCGCACCATCTGATGCAGCTAAAGAAGACATAAAAATCTACTACTTGCTCCCTACCAACTACAACTTATCTTGTTGCAACACAAATACCTACCCAAGCAACTCAAAGCCTCATCCTTATCAACTCACATAATGCATCTCTCCATGAATCAAGTTTTCCTCGCCGCTCTTACGCTCTTTAGCGCGCAAATGCGATAACCTGCGCAACTGATGCAGATTGTCCAGCAAGTCTCTGTCCTGGCCAAAGGTCTTTGTGGTGAATACTTGCTTCTCCATTGCTTCGTGCTGATGCTGATGATTATTGTTACAGTGGAGCTACTGTGAATCTTAGTCAGAAGTGTCTATGTAGATAAGGAGAGTTATCATCGGCCCTGCGGTCTAGATTCTACCACTCGTATGGAGGCAAGTGCTTGTGGATTGATCACTTTATACCCGTACTAGGGGTTATTATTGTTGGCTCAGTGGGAAGTCTGGTACTTGTGGATGTGTATGGGGGACGTTGGTAAAAGGGGGACAGAGCGGTGCATATTCGTTAGTACAGGATTTTGCTACCTCGCCAGTTTGGATGATGCATATACACTCTGAATATAGCCAAATCACAGTTCTTGGAGTGAGAGTTGTTTGAGAACCAAAGTGCAAGCCAGCATTCGTGAAGAGTTCATAACCATTTTTTGCATGGTGCATTCAGAGCGCAATGGACCTAACTCAATCATACGAGATATGGAATGGCACGACACCAAGTCCCATTGTGAACCTGCTCACACTCAACACTTTGAAACACATCTTTACCATGCGGAAAAGTAGGTTCTGAGACTTTAAATGTGGGTTGTCTTTCTACCTCAAACACCAAAGTACAATCCATTTGTAATTAAGTCCAATGCTCACTTCACTGACCAGGTCTTCTTTTCTCATAGAGGTACGTTGATCGCGTTATGGATGAAGAAGTGCCCCCAGAGCAATTTCACTCATCTTTCACTCCGGGGCTTTGCTCAATGAGGGGTTTTTTAGCGGTATCTGCAACCCATACAATCCATTTTTGGTCAATACTGGTATTCCAAACCTCCTGCAGTTTCGGCCCCAACTTGAATTTCGGAAATTTCGCGTTCATAGCAGCCACTACATATGCCTCTGACACAAGAACGGGCGAATACGTTTCCTTCCCTGCCCATACTTGTTCTTTACGAGAATCGAGATCATGAAGCTTGAGGAACGTACGAGCACTTTCTATTGCTGTCGATACCTGTCCGGAAATCTCGAGGGAAACGGGTAAGGATGAAAGGCTTGCCAGAGCAAGAATAGCGTATTCCGTGGTCTCTCCGTAGTAATCAGAGCCCCAAGAGCCGTCTTCATTCTGTCTCTGCAGAATCTGCAAGAGGAGCTGGAAAACTGTTGTGGGGAGTCTGCGTGTCACGAGATCAACTGGTAGCAAGCTCAACAGTGAAGTCTCCCAGAGATTCACGAGAAGCATAAGAGCCTCTGAAATAAGCATGATCGGATAGTACTCAGACGTATTCTGCTGCACTTAGTATATGGCTTTGATTGTTCTGATGTAGTGCCCTTACCCACTTGTCAGAAAGCGACCACCCAAAATTGAGCCATACATCGCATATATAGCAGAAACTTCTCGATTTGAAGAGCATAATCCTCTGGGTTGGGACAGAGCAGAAGAGCAGTCAAAACATTGCAATTAGTCGATAGGCTGCAGATCAGTTCCACCTCATAAGTACAGAAATTCTCGGGGCCCATGAATGCTTTCGTCAATGTGTCAGGATCGGTGGGCTTCCCAAGCATGTTTCGGATAGATATACTCCTAGCAGTACTATCTGCGTCCATGACATGTAATTTTGCCATAAGGGGAGCTACGTTCTTTGCTTTTGCGGAAAATCAGACTTACACAATGAACCAGCGAGTCCGCCAGAAACCTCATAATAGTCCTCAATTATGACCAAGACACCGACAAGTTCTGGCAGAGTTTCAACATCGAATCCACTGTTAAGAAGCGTAAAGCTAATCTGTCAGATAGACCGTTAGCTTGTTCTTGAGTCTTGTTGACACACGATGCAAAACTAATCCATAAAATGTCAAACCCTGTGATTGGAGAAAAATAACGAAGTCCTCTGAACGTATCTCCCGTTGTCAAGATGGTAATCCTCCTGGGATAATCCTCAACTTCATCCACCCAGATAGATGAGCCCATAAGAAAAACTGCAGTAGATGATGGGATTCCTCCCATGCTACCCCCTACTAATACCTCTCTCATCAGGGCAAAGTCTCCTTTACCAATAAACGCTTCTAGAACGAAAGTGAATGTGGTCTGCTTCTTGAAATGGTAGAGGTAGGATGGAAATTTTTGCAACTTCTTTTGGTTCAGATCCATGAGACGTTTGGACCCAGGAAATTCAAAGAAGATACCCTCTCCTTCGAGGTATTCCAGCATCGCAGGAACAATCAAGGCAACGGCCGGTCGCAGGTTCCGAGCTACATCCCATTGAGCCGGCTTCTCTTTGAGAAAGCCTCTCGCTCGCTCAATTCGGAACTTCATAACAGAGACTAAGGGATCATGCTCTTGTGAGTTTCTTTTGAGAGCCAGGAGTCCCGCAAGGGATTTGACTATGGTGTCAACAATCGAGTCATAAGGTTCTTCCCATCCGCCGCCATGGAGCTGTAGATCCAAGACATATTGGAAACACTCTGGGAAAAGGATGTGTGCTATGGTAACCCCGGATTTGCCGGTTTGACCAATTAGACAATTGTATTCGCCGTATAATAGATTTACGGAATACTATTATAGCCGTTACAAATACGATAATCTATTCTATAATAAGCTTTTATTATAGCTTACTATAGTATAGAACAAGTAGGGCAGTAGGTATAGAATAAGGAATAGAATATAGTAAGTAAATACTATAATAATATATAAATCTATATAAGGGTCTATATTCCCTAACCCTTATCTCTTCTCTACTACTACTATCCTTACTAATACTTTCTTTTAATATAGACGCCGCTAACCTAGCTATATTACTATCTAGCGTTAACTTTATACCCTTCTTTTTACCCCTAGGGGTAGAACTACTTTAAATTAATCCTTTCTCCAATACTATTAAGCGTTAATTTAAGTTTTATCTTAAGTAATTCTTAAATTAGAGCGTTTTAATAAAGTCTTAACGTACTAAGATATAAGACTAGTTACAAAACTTAGGTACTTATATTCTACCTTTACTTAGTAAGTGTAACGAATACTCAAACTGGCTAACTAAACTTGGCTGGGTGTTCGCTGGTTGGTATGCCATGATAAGAAGAAGACTATCGGGTTGTTCACTTGGAAGTGAACTCGTTACTTGTATCAAAGATGTCAAACTAATATGATAAGATTGATAACTAAGTTGAGCACGAAGCTCCTATCTAATGGCAGATGTGCCAGTCTTATATAGAACCTTCGTTCTCTCTACATCGCCTACATCACCTGTCGATGTAGTCGACCTCCTATCGCTAAC